TGTCATATTAAATCCTTGCCTTCAAAACCTGTTACCCTGGCAGTGTTAAAAATTTAAAACCAGATCTATATCTAAATGTTGAGGTGTGGACTTTTATAAAAACAAGTTCAGTTGCTATAAATTATTATTTAAAACACTGCATGTTAACTGACTATACCTAAGTTTCTTTGTTCCTGCTTAGCACATGTATTTGAGAAAGCTGCTATCAATTATCTGAGAAAGCAGCTAGCAAATACAATGAGTTGCATCAGCTCTTTTTTATTTATTAAACTTACCTTAAGTTCTTTCCTTTCAGGATCTATTGCTTCAATTTGGTAAATATTTCCGGCTCCACTTCCCTCTAAGATATAGATCATTATAGCTATATGAATAGAAATATAGTCAATGTTAATTGTATTAAGAAAAAGTGGACATACTAGCAAACATACAGAGATACTAACTATATGCAAACATGTTATAACCTGATATATATACTCACTCTATCTAATTCCAAAATAATCAGGAAAATAGACAAAATTAGACAAGCCAGAAGATGTATCCAATCATACAATTATGAATTGCATGAAGGAGATAGGCACCATATAAACCCTGTCTTGAACTGGTCTTTGGTATATGGTTTATATTGGCTTGATCTTTTGCCTAAGAGTGCACTACACCAACTTCAGTTCAGTCCAATGTGTATTATATAAGCTGTCAGGGTTAAGATCTCCTGCACAGTATCATTGGGAATATAGGAATCCTGTCTTTCCTAAGATGTACAGAAATCATTTCTAGAATAAGTGGTTAATGAGACCTCAGACCTGTAAATCACATTATTTACATGACACACTAGCATTTCTATTGTATCCTGTTTCTAGAATATTAACCTGCTCTTTGACCTTTCCTGATTGCTTTTTTCCTAAATAATGAGAATCCCAGAACACTGTAACAAGTACTCCCAGATGAAAGTGATAGAAAAATACAGTTTAATGAGTGAGATACATTTTTACTAACCAGCAAATGTACAGTTAGCATTAATTGTAGCTGGTATTGTTAGCTAATGCCAGGCAGTTAGATAGCTCAGATATCTATGTTCACTGATTTATGGTAGCTCTAGCTGAGAGTTAAGATGATGGATTTCTTTGCACAAAGCTCCCACGTACAGCATGTTTCATGCTGTGCTGATCCCCTGGAGTGTCATAATGTCAAATATCATTAGTATTTATTTCTGGTAGCACCCACAATGTGCTAGGCACTGTCCATGCACAGAAATGAAACAATCCCTTCCCCAAGGAGAAGTTCATTTTGTCACTGGCACACTGTAGTGTATAAAAGCAGGAACCCCGGAGTGTTTACTTGCAATATGTTAAATTGGATGACTTTCAAGTAGACTTAGATGTGCACTAAATCTGGCTCTAGAACTTTGGGCTGGGTTCAAGAGAGGGCTTAGGGATCTGGAGCAGGACTTCGGGAGACCCAGGCTACAGGCACATGTTACTTTCATAGTGCTATATTTGCATTTAGAGCACTAGACAATGCAAATGTGCACATGTTCAAGCTATTCATAGCACTACAGGGATACCAGATCCTCCACAGAAAAGTTCCTTGTGCACAGTGCGGATCTCTTGGCCTCCCAGCATCCCAGAGTGCTCTGCTCTCCCTCCTTGCTTTCAAGGGGGAGTGAAAGAGCAGATGGCTCCCTGCTGGCCCACAAGGAACAGAGCTGCAGCTCTACCACATGCTGTGGCTGCTATAGAGCCATTGCTGCCCTGCTTAGTAAGGATGGCAGCAACTGCGGATGGGTGGCAGAGGCCACTGATCAGCTGTTGTCAGTGGGAGAGGGAGGGGTGTTGCAAGCAGCTCCATCAGCTGTTGCAACCCTGTAGTAACAGCTGAGGGGGCTGCTGGCTGCAGCACGAGCTAATTGTGTGCAGAACCCCCCAGTCAGTGTTATCACTGCAGGAGGCTTGCAGGCACCACGGGGGATGATGCCAGCTGGAAGAATTCCCAACAGAGATGCAGCCTCTCTGCCTTGGCTGCCGCACTGACAGGTTTCTGCGGGGGCAGGGGGAACAGCTGCCTATTGCCCCCTGACTGGGAGCATGATTTTGTCATACATATGCACTCCCCTAGAGCACTTCAGTTTTGTAGTGCTACAAGTGCCTCAGCTCTTAAAATTCAGCACCTAAAACTCATGAGGTGTGTCTCATTTTGGCCTGGACATTCCTGAGGCATCTGGGGCTGCAGTTCGGAGCATGCACAAAACTGCCAGAGCCTGAGCAGGTGGGCACCACGCCCCTGCCTGAGCCCTGTGGGAATCCCGTCACCTTGTGGAGTGGCACTGATGTCCCCTGGGGAGCCAAACCTGGTGGACAGGCTCAAAGCCTGAAACCCATCAGTGGGACTGAGTCCCTCACAAAATCCAATTATAGCTGCCTAATTTTAAAATGAGTCCAGAAGAGGTAGTAGCACTGTCAACCTTGTATATAATAGCCTAGGACAGGGTTGCTGAACCAAATCTAGCCCACAAAGCCATGTAATCTACCCTCAGGCCCCCCATGGCTCCAAAAATTTGGCAGAGGGGGAGCAGTGGTAGTGTTACTTGGCACTTCCCAGCTGCCAAATTTCCATGTGCATGGGGAGCCCTGCAGACAGATAGCTTGGCCCTTTGTGCTTGATTGGGTGCACAGAGCTGGGGCAGCACAGGACCTTGCCCAGGTGGTGCAGAGCTGGATCCAGGTGGCACAGGGCTGGATTCAGGTATGCAGGGCCCAGTCCAGGTGGTGTGAGGTGGGATCTGGACAGCATTAACTGAATCCAGATGAATCCAGTCTGGGTTTGCACTGACCAGCCCTGTGCACCAAACCCACTCAGGTGTCAGCCTGCAGACTTGTCCCATGCCACTCATCTGACCCATAGAACTAAAAGTTTGAAAACTACTTACTGGCCTAGGAAATGGGAGGCTTGGGCTTACTTCCCTCCTCTACCTGGGGCAGTTCAAGCCCATACCCCTCACAAGAGAGCCCTAACCTCCAAGCTTTGGGAATGGGAAGCACCTCTGGATGAAGCTGTGCCACAGTGCAGAGGAATGTGGGGGGTCTCGAGGCCAGAAAGAGAGCACAAGGAAGAATGAGAGTCTATAGGACAAGCAGCTTGGGGGGGAGTGGGAGTGGAGGTAGGGGAGAATTTTGTATCCTGGTCCTTATTCCAATTGCTGCTTATATATTTTACATCAAACAGTTACTGGATGAAAAGAGACCAGAAATAATTCAGCTCATTCTCCAACACATTGGCCAACTGCTGGAGAGGATAAGGTGTTCCAGCCTCCCAGGAGGTCTGGAAGGAGGCAGGGGCAACATCAGCTGTCACATGAAAGAGATGGAATCCTCTGCCTCTTATCAGGCACTGTCACAGATCACAACCCCAGGACCTCATGTTTACATTTCTTGCACATTGGTGCAAATCCATTGTGTTGCTGTACAGTATCAGTAGAATATTATGTTATTGTTTATCAAAAGCTCAGGTAATTAATAAAGTGTGTTTAAATGTTGCTTTCTCCCCCAATCCAAGTCAGTATTTCACAAACTGCTTAAAGTTATACCCATGACCTAGGGTGCCTACAGATGTTTAGGTGCCGTGCATTAACTCATGGCACTTTGCACAGAGCACCATGAGTTAGAACCCCCCCACAACAGATGTTCGCCTTCTGAGTCCGGGGGGGCTCTAGCCTCCCTGCACCAGCCCTGGCCAGCAGGGAGGGGATCTCCAACATCCTCTGAGGAGGTTGCTGAACCACCCCTCTCCTGAGCCCTGCACCCCCACTTCCAGGGCTGTCAGCAGGAGAGGGAGGGGGAGAGAAAGGGAGCAGCGCACAGCAGGACCCAAGAGGTGAGGGGGCTTCCTTCCCCAAACCCCTGCCCAGGCATCTTGACAGCAGCAGCTGCCAGCTTGGCTTTGCCATGGCTGGAGCTGGGTGGGAGGAAGAGGTGGAACGGAGCCCCCTCACCTTGCCCGGCTTCCCCCAATACCCCAGCTGGGTTAGCTGTGGGGGGCCTGCGAGGTGAGGGGGTTCTGTTCCACCCTGCCCCCCCATCCAGCTCTGGCCAGACAAAGCCCAGCCAGCTGCTGCGTGCTGCTCCCTCCCCTTCCCCCTGTCCCTCCCTCCCCGCTGCCAGCCCCAGGGCTAGGGCTGGGCTGGTGCCTGCTGATGTAATCACCAGCCCAAACCTGTAAAGGCATGAAAAATTAACCCTCAAGGGAGCACAAGTTCCCTAAGGTCAAGTCCCAGAAGGCCAATGTGGTCCCTATTTTCAAGAAGGGGAGGAAGGAGGATCCGAGTAATTATAGGCCAGTCAGTCTCACCTCCATCCTTGGAAAGGTCTTTGAAAAGATTATGAAGGCTCATATTTATGGGAGTCCAATGGGAAAAATAATGCAGCAGAGAAACCAGCATGGATTCATAGCAGGTAGATCATGCCTGACTGATCTGGTTTTGTTTTATGATGGGCTCACAAAATGCTTAGACGCAGGAGTAGAGGTGGATGTCGTTTTCTTGGATTTTAGCAAGGCCTTCGATAGGGTATCTCATCCCATTCTCATAAATAAATTAAAAGGCTGTGACATAAATGTTTACACAGTCTGGTGGGTGGCAAATTGGCTTACTGATCACACTCAGAAAGTGGTAGTAGATGGGTCGGTATCGACCTGGAAGGATGTGGGCAGTGGGGTCCCACAGGGTTCTGTCCTTGGACCTGTACTCTTCAATATCTTCTTCAGTGACTTGGATGTGTGTGTGAAGTGTACTTTGTCCAAGTTTGCGGACAATACTAAATTGCGGAGTGAAGTGCAGACTCCGGAGGGTAGGGAACAACCTGGGCAGGCAGGCAGACCTGGACAGGTTAGAAAAGTGGGCAGTACACAATAGGATGCAGTACAACAAGGACAAGTGCGGAGTGCTGCACCTAGGGTGCAAAAATATCCAGCACACCAACTGGCCAGGAAGTGACCCCCTCAGCAGCACGGAAGTGGAAAGGGATCTCGAAGTCATAGTGGACTCCAAGATGAACATGAGTCGTCAGTGTGACAAAATCATCAGCAACGCTAACCACACTTTATCATGCATCAGCAGACGCATGACAAATAGATCTAAGGAGGTGATACTTCCCCTCTATGTGGCATTGGTCAGACTGCAGTTGGAATACTGCATCGTTTTCGGCACTGTACTTCAAGAAGGATGTTGATAGACTCGAGAGGGTCCAGAGGTGGGCCGCTCACATGGTTAGGGGCTTACAAGACAAGCCCTATGAGGAGAGACTGAGGGGCCTGGACCTCTTCAGCCTCCGCAAGAGAAGGCTGAGAGGTGATCTTGTGGCTGGCTAGAAATTCATTAGGGGGGTGCAACAAGGGATCAGAGATGCTCTGTTCACCAGGGCACCTCTTGGAGTAACAAGGAACAATGGTCACAAACTGATAGAGTGGAGATTTAAGCTAGATATCGGGAAAAACCTCTTCACAGTAAGAGTGGCCAAAATTTGGAATGGGTTTCCAAGGGAGGTGGTGCTCTCCCCTACCTTGGGGGTCTTTAAGAGAAGGCT